TGTTTGTTTCATACATGTGTGCATGGTGTATGCCATCGGTCTTGCATAAGTTGACTGAGCCGAGGTTCTGAGTTTCAAGAATTTATAATAGGCGTTTGTTGGCTCCATGCTCAACTCGAGAAACAATCCAGGCTGTGCAACTGGGTCAGTCATTCTTTGCAAAGCACTGCAAAACCCTTGCCATGTGCAGGTTGCATGCGCAGAAATCATGTAGCACATAAGCATGCGAGGAAGACCTCTACTCTTGATAACTCCAGTCCGTGCTCGGTATCCGCTGCAGCGCACAGAATTGCCCACCGTGCACCTTCGAAAGGCTCGTGGACGGGCCATCACCTGGCAAGCCGGCCATATAGCGCTTTGGTTCATGAGGCAGGAGAGGTGCTGTGTGGGTGTGTGGGACCTGACTCAAAATATCATCAAAAAGCAAAGTTGTGCACGAGCATATAGTTTCGAGACATGTTGAGACACTATATGGTCAAAGATTGACAAACAAGGGTTCCTTTTTTCTGTGCAGCGCACCAGGGTCCTTGCGAGAGATTTGGAAATGTTATCTATGATCCCCAACTTTGCATGATGTGTCATCATGCGTGCCCCAAATGTAGAGCTTGCCACATCACACTTCAATGAGGGCATGCCCTACCATACCAAATCACAACACGTGTAGGGTGCAGCTCCTCGGGCAACTATATTAGGAAACCATGCAAAAGTTCAAGGTTAACATCTATGATTCTATGATGGTGAAAAGGGTGAACAGTATATGAACCGTGTTTGTATGAACTTTGGGCCACTTGCCACTGGCTGCTTTCCTACTCATTCTGATTCCCACCCTTGTCCTTTGTGGACCTGGGGATCTTTGGAAAGAGACGCTCATCTTCCCAGACCTTTTGCTGTGCACTCTTCAAACATTCAACATACGCCGCAATCACAGACTTGGTCAGGGGGCCTTTGATGGATGCCATCTTCTCAGCCTCAGCGGACAGAGATCCAGGCGTGAGGGATGCAGGGGACCCACCCTAAAGTGAGAGAAAAGTGAGCACGGTTTCATCCACCCAGATAGACTTTCTGATAACATTTGAATGCCCATGTTCATCTATACCTGCTGCCAAGGAACGAAGAGCCCTGCCAAACACATGTTGGTATAGATGCACCCTCCGAGTGCAAAGTAGGCGATCTGACTGTAGTTCTTCGACTTGTACACCTTCTTTGCCTTGGCGTTGGTCTTGCTCGCCGCCTTTGAAGCAGGCTTCTTCCTTCCCACCGATGGCGCCAACAAATCCTTGGAAGCCTTGACCCCCACGGCTTCCCTCTTCCAGTAGTAGTTGATTTGGAAGTTCGCCGGAGCCTCGATGGTGTAGTGTTGGCCCTCATACTCCTCGAGCACCTTGTAAATGGATTCAATAAAGTAGTTGACTTCCTCTTCACTTGGCTTTTCATCATCACCGATCTCGCTATTCTTTGCCTCCGTTGCTTTCTTGTGACTTGCCTTAGCTTCTTTTGCCTTCTTCTGGCCGCTCTTCCCCTTTGGTTTCTGCTCATCCTCCTTCTGATTTCTCGATCTCTTCTTGGGCTTGCCGCTCTTCCGGACAGCCTCATGAGAAGACGATGGTAATTCAATGGCCTCAGGTGGTTCAGAACGGGTGGTGGACGGTTCCTGTGGCTCTTCTGTCGGCTGTTCTTCTTGTGACTCACCAGCAGGCTCCACAGAAGTCACTTCTTTCTTGGGCGAAAGCAGCTTCACTTGGCGGAGCTTCCTCAATTTCTTTTGAGATGGCGATGATTTCACTTTCTTGGGTGCCTTCTTGCACTTCCTTGCGGCAGCTGCCTTCTTTGTCTTTTTGTTTTTGCTGTTCTTGCCCTTCTTCTTGCCCTTCTTCTTGCCTTTCTCAACATATTCAGATTCATCATCACCCTTGGCACTCTTGTCCTGCCGTTTGCGGGTCCGTTTCTTCTCTGCCTTCTCCTCCTTGATGTCATCCTTGATTCCAAACTGCTGGCGACGAGTCACCGGCGCATGCGTTGGCACAGGTGGGTATTCCTCCTTCGCCTGGAGGGTTGGCTACAAGTCACAAGTGATTTCCCCAAAAGTTCTCAGAACATGTCAAATGCCTTTGAGTCTTTGAGGGTCAAACGAAGCATTTGTTTTAAATAAAGCGTGGTGGAACACCCCAGAAGAAGCAGGGCAGAGAGAGAGAGAGATAGTGCCAGAACAACTAAACATATTGACATTTTATCAATATACTGTTAAACCAAACTTTTTTGGCCACACTGACATAGATGACTTGGAGAAGTTTGAACCATACCATACTTGGTGTACACATGCTTGAGTGCAATTGACATTTTATAAAACTCCATGCGGGGGTGACTACACATGTGACCAGCTTTGTAAACACAGTGGCCTCCTCCTCTGGCTGGGATTTCTTGACCAGAAGTTTCTCATCCTCCGTCTTCAGCATCGATTTCATGCCGGGTGTGTTCTCAAACTCTTCCGGTGGAACTGCATAAAGTTGGGTCTCGTCCGTGTCCACGGCGGCAGGAAGTGAGTCGTGCAGAAAAGTAGGTGGAGAACCTTGGCTCTACACTTGACCAAGACCAACCAACACATGCACACTGTCTCATGGAGATTGACTCATTGTTTGGCCAAAGCGCCTGCAGGACCATTTTTCGGGCTCGGAGCATCAATGGTGGTCTTTGGAGTTGAGGCCTGGCCCAACCTTGGACGGGAGCTGCGCGGTGTTCTATAACTATAACCCCCAAGTCAACTTCAGGGAGAAAAAAAGATGCCATGCATCGACCCACCACAGAAAATGAGGGAACGAGAACAAGAGCGCCGCCCTGCACAAATTTGATATGTTGACCACGTGACTCTTCAGACCCACCATATTGGTTGATTTCTTCTAACACTTTCAAGAGCTCGACCTCCATGTCCATAGCCTCGCCCGGATTGCCGCCCTCCAATTCGTCCTCAGACTCGATGATTTCAACCTGCACGCATTGACCCATGTGCTCAACATTGCTCAATAAATATATGGTTTCTTTATGTTTATTTCTTGTTCACCCTATGCCAAGGTGTTTCACACATGTGCGCATGCTTTTGGTGTTTTTGCCTGCGCTGGCCCAGTGTGTCCATGCAGTTGTCCATCCATTGGCGCTGCCCCCACATCCTCTGGCACATGACCACCAGGTCCATCCAAAGCTGGCATCTCCCCCAGTGTGGTTTGACGAAGAGGCCTCGCGACTGGCCTTTCCCCATGGAAGGCCTGATTGGTGTAAGGTCGGAAGGTGCACGCGCTGAGATCCTCCAACTTGAGCTGTCGACGACCATTCGAGTCAACTTCTGCCATCTCAGATGCTTGCCCACTCTCAGCCAGCGCATTGGCTGCACTTGGTGAGATTGGTGCGGGACATGACGATGCGGGCACTGCCGGTGGCGATGGTTCCACTGCCCTTGGTGTCACCGTTGGGGAGGCTCTTGGTGACGCAGCCGGTGTTTCACCTGCAGATGGTGGCAAACTGTCCGGGTCATCCATGATGGGGTAGGACTGACCAAGACTCACCCGCTCCCGTTTCTTGATTGGAACCTTTATTCCAAGGTCTTCGGCGACTTCCAAGAGCTCAAAGTCATCCTGCACAGGTAGAGTCACAAACAACTGACGCTGTGCATCAACACCTAAATGACCTGAAATACAGGTGCAGGTGGTAAAACGCACGCGCACACATGTTTGTGTGTGTTTGCGCGCCCGCACATGCACACGTGAGTGCACGCATTCAAGTCAAGACATGTCAAGGCATATCAAGACGCGAAGACAACAATCAACCAGTCCTCCGAGAGATATCTTCGATGTTGCAGAGCGTTCTTCGCCAAGCTAGCTAGCCTGCGACATGCCCAAGTTTCATGGTAAAGAACGTCATGCGAGACATTGACCTTGGAGTACTTGTACAACTTCCTCACCTCTTCGATCAGGACATCGATGGTAGGAATCTGAAGTTCCTGAGCTTTCATGCGAAGATGGAGTGGCCTGAGCGGAATCCGGTTCATCCGGATGTTTTGTAAGGTCTTCTCAACGGGTTGGTCCGTGAGTAGGCCAGTACCCGGGTCATAGTGCATGATGAGGTGGTGGCCATCCCTGAGTCTGTCTCGGACTTGGTCAAGATTGTCCCACTCCCTAGCTAAGCCCTCCAGGGAGTAGCCAAACGCCCTATCCCTCTCACCAGCACCATGAGGTGGCACAACAAGAGGGCCTTCCATGTTTTTAGCTGACCAAGTCGAACGCGAGCTGTGCCAAAATCGGCTGCGCAGGTGAAGCGGCCAACTGAGAGGGGGGCCAGAGGATGCATGAACCGGATCAAATGGTTCAACAGATTCCCTGACAAAAAGAGCACTGTGCAGTCTATGCCCAAAACATAAAACAGGTCAGCAGCACCAGATTGTTCTCTCCAGTTTGATGCCACCATGGACGGACTGCATGTCCAATTAAGGGATCGATTCAATGGTCCATGGGGTTGATTTATGTTGGTTTCTAATATTTCATTCGTTGTGTGATGCTGTGTGGTAGTCTTAGGTCGGCTCGTGCACGTTTTGCACTTGTGTGCTGATCTTTGCAACGGCAGTGACAGCAACGCTCGTGAAAAAAGATCCGGGAGAGGCCTGGCATGAGGAGGGGCAGTGGGTGCTTCTAATGTGTTTTTGATCGTGGCGATCTCCTGATTTCATGGATATGCTGCACGACCCACGGCCTGAGCAGGATTCGAGAACACCGCCGACAAACCTCGAATTCGGGCAATCGGCGAAAATCGGTGAGAATCGACATAACTAAAAAAAAGAATTTTGGAGGCTGATAAGTTGTTATTTCAGTTGTAAGTTGAAACTTTAACTTGAACGCTGCTGAAGGTACTGTAATGTTGTCAGTTTCAGATGGACATGGCCACCTTTGGTATTTCTGCTCAATGCCATGGTTTTTGTTGTGTGATGTTGCTCTAGCAGATTCACGAGTTTCGCTGAGGACTTCATGCAGCGATTGCTTTTGCAGAAATGGCGCGGCTGTGACTGTTTACATTTGGACATTGGCCCGACCCAGGAGCAGGATATCTTGGATGATGCTTGGAGCAGATGAGATGGCTTGGCGTGAGGACATATTCTTTTTGATGCACCAGATGTGCCACAGGTTGTTCAGGGCTCACCCTGTTAGACTAGGTCAGTGAGAGTGAGAGCAAACCTGGCGCTGAGGACATCCTGGTGCAGATCAGCTTGTGGGGTTGCTTGCAAGCTGAGTCCATGATCGCAGTGGTGCCACGAGACTACACCTTCATCGAGCTCGCCAACTTGTCTACTCCGGTTCTCCTGGAGCTCACAGTATGTAGCTTCTTCGGTTTGCACAGTTGACAGTTGAGGCAAGTGAGCGAGTGCATCCAAGAGATCGATCCTCATTGAATCTCAGAAGGTCCACGAAGGTTCTTGGAGGCATGTTGTTTCTCTGATGGATCATATATGACCTTCTATATCCTTCTATAAAGATGGATCTCAGCATATCTTTCAGAGCCTCAATGTGTCCGATTTGTGGATCCAGAGCCACATCACACGGAAGGGTCGAGCACATGCGCTCTCCGCAGACGCCACTGAGGCTTGGTCTCACTGACAAAGGCCGACTTCGAAATGTGTTCCTTCTACGTCTCCCCCGAGGCGACTTACGGGCGCAACTCGTGCATGTGTAAGTATGGGTGAACGTGCTTTTTCTCGACAGATTGGACATTTCTCTTGCAGTGAAGTGGGGAGTAGAAAGGATTTCCCAACAAATTTGTCTTGTTTCAACAAGTTGTACTGTGGCGGTGAGTAGTGGGGTGAGTCTAATTAGGTGTGGAGCCTGTGCTTCTCCTGAAGAGTCTTGCGTACAACCATGCTGCATGCTACTCTGGTGAATGAATCCGTCAATATCATGAATGAAGAGGAACTCCATGTTCAATTGACCTTTGTGGCCTTCTGAACGTGTGAACTGGGCCTGTGGATTTGCGTGCACAGGGTCGCCTGCTTCCAACAGAAGCCTCAAGTCCACCATATATCATAACCTTGGATTCATCAACATCATAAGGGCCTAGGGTGTGTCTCACGCCAATGATCCCAGCCCCTGGCTGAATCTCTTTGCCTTTGTTACCAAAGCCTTCGCGTGGGTGTGTCCTTCTCATTTTCGGTCATGTTCGTATGCTGGGGCAAAGCATCTAGGTCCATAGAACGCAAGTAGTGCATCGCATGCAAAAACGGGGCCTCTTCATCGTCTATATCCCTCAATGTGGAAGAGCCAAAGGAGCCAATGACTTTTCACCATTTCTGAGAAGTGAGGTCAGTCATTAGCTTCTTGGAGGCCAGTCAACATCAATAGGCCAATCGCTGGGAAGTGAAATCCTTGCTGTGAAGTGACTGCGATCGCGACGTCGTGGTCGCAGGTGCGGAGCCCATCACAGGTGGTGGCCAAGATCTTGGAGGCGAGAGAAACCACCAACCTCGCACAAAAGGTGAGCCTTGATGGCCCTGCCATGCCAGAGGAGCTGCGGAGGGCGGTTTGGCGGTTTGGCGGTTTGCATAGGGATTTGGAGACCGCTGTTCGGGTCGAAAACGGGAGCAGAGAATTCTGGCAATCTTTCCAAGCATTTGGAGTTTAGTATTTGGATACAGGGTGAGGCTCGAGATAGTGTTGACCTGCTGGCTTTTTGAGAGACACCGACGACCATTTCAATTTCTGGGAACTTAGACGGTACCTCTGCAACACCAACCCACAATGACAGAACCTATAGTACCACAGCCTATATGTATATTGTAGTTATAGTGACTATAGACTATATAGTTGTGTATTTATGAATAACGTTCATGTCAGCCAGTCCTAGTACTGAATATTCTAGACAATTTTCAGCCGATGTGGATGAATGACAGATACAATCTACCCACTCTTCAGGGTGCCGATCACAGTCTTGTAGAAGCTGACGGGGAGGAGCGCTGTCGAGATTTGCTCAAGCGGCATTTGGTACACAGGCTTGAAGCACAAGGCCAGGCACCGCCATGCTGGGCAACACCAAGAAGGTTCTGACTGAAGGAGATATTAGGGTTCTGATAAATTGTATATAGATCTTGGCTGGTTCGTCCAAGAAACTTGAGCAAGCAATTGCTGGTAATTAATGACCATCATTCTGATTTATTTCCAGAGGTGACGGCTGCAGAAGGTACAAATCACGGATGTTCGGTTTGGCAGGGCGTCAATCACTCGGGTCAGACTGTGAAGAGCAATCATGACAAGCTATGACAAGAGGTAGGGGAGCCATTTGAAAGCGTTCTGCAAACCACTGGTGCTTGTATTTAGTCACGCCAAGCCCAAACACTGCATGAAATAGCAAGTACGTGGCCAATAAATTTATGCTTGTTGGGTGCTCACTTTCCGTGTTGTTTGCAGTTCTGCTTCAGACCGTGTTTGGATGCTTTAATTCATTCTGAGCTTTACTTCCTTGCAGTGAGCCATCTTGATTGACCGGCACAGGTCCGCCTTCCTATGCCTTGCTCCATATGGTTCTCCGGGTGTTGGCGGTGCAATGCGTCAGCTTTTGCACATCGGAATCCTGGACGAAAAGAAAAGACAGGGCAGGAAGGGCAGGGAGGGCAGGGAGGGCAGAGAGGGCAGGGAGGGCAGGGGTAGTTGGAACGAAAGGTCAAAAGCAACACATGTTTAAAACGGTACATCCAAAGCCATGGTAGGCGAGCACCTGCTGATCATTCAGTTCAATTGTTTGGAATTGGAGCTTGTTGAACCCAGGCCTCATTGTCCCACAGGTAGCTTCTTAACCTTTCTTAGTTTTAACATGGAGGCCAGGCTTACAAGTTGTTCAGGTTAGAAGCACCCACATGTCCAAATCACAGCCAGAACAGTTGCAGAAGAGGGAGGGCAACAACATCAACCAACGAAAAAGACAACCCAATTTTTCCTTTGTTTTTGTGTTATATATATATATAACTTTTTTTTTTTTTCTCTGGGCATTTGTGGCTGCTTCACCCAGCAGATGCCAAATCACGGGACCCCGCAGCTTTAGAGCAACTCGACCCTCAAATCGCTGGTCGAGGACAGTGCAACTCCGACGACCGAGGCGTACTTCGACCCGAAGACTCTGCAGAAGTTGCAGATCGAGGCATCTTCCGTGCGGAAGGAGCTGGTGGATCGATTGGTGGAGGCGCGGCCAGACGCACGGCGCCAGCGAGCGCCAGCGAGCGCGGCCCCAGTGAAGACTTCCGATAGTGGGTGGGTGATGGTGATGGATGGCGAAGGAGCAATGGAATCCCTTCAAATCGGGGAGTGAGCCTCCAAACGGCTGGGCCAAGTCCTTTGATCTGACCATCCCTTTTTCTTGATGCGTTGTCCAAGTGCGCAAGAGTTTTTGAACCACCCACAAGGAGCTTCACCGTGGGTAGTACCAATTGAATGGACTTGAATCAGAGTGGGTGAAGCAGTGAAACTTTTGAATGAAACAAAGCACAACGACCAATTTTGAATGAACAGTGCAACAACCAGTTCTTGTTCATCCCGTTTGCAAGTGGACCAAAAAGACCCATGGTCAGTACACCGGGCTCAGCCATAACGCTGCACGATGTCCATCAGTGGCTCGATACTGTAACGGCAAGCTCTCCTTCGTAGATCTCTCCATAAACATGCGATACACAGCACACACACACACACACTCACTTAGTTCAAGCAAGTAGCCTTGGGTGGATCTTTGTCCTGCAGCTTTGAGCCTTTATTCTTCATGGGCATTCTGGGCATTCGAAATCTGCAAGTGAACGACCGTGATTCATTTTATGGGCTGCTTGTCTTCCAAAAGGCAAGGACTTACCATGCGTCCGCCGGACGAGGCGGCGATCGACTTCACGACCCGGGCGGTAACCTCGGGTCGGCTGCGACAACGGGAGCAACACGCGGCGGATCAGACGGCTGCGGCTGCTGCGGAGATGTTTGAGGCACAAAGACTGTGATCTTCGCAATGGGAGGGAGTCTTTCGATGCCAACATTTGCTTTTCATTGAAACCCAAAGAATCAAGAAATCAGGCTTTACTGGATCAACTAAGGGAAGGGGTTAGATATGGTTATTAGATAGATGTTATTAGATGTTCTTTCATCGATGGTTTTGCCTTCGAAGATGGAGCCAATCTTCTGTGCTTCCCCTTCCTCTTGATGCTAGGGGATGGTCCGCTGGTCTGAGACGAAGCCGTTGCTCCTATTCAATCGGTTTGACCGGCAAACCCTCTCCTTGGTCTACCGGGAGGACAACGCCCGCGCTCTGTGCGCTCTGTGCGCGCTGTGCGCGCTGTGCGCGCTGTGCGTGTGCTATGTCCTGGCTTGCGGGCAACCTCGGGACACCTTTGGTTATGAGAATGCCCCATTTACTGGATCCCCGGATCCCCATTTCAGTGGCGGAAAAGGCCGGGAGAGATCACACCCAATCAAGCGTTGAAGGATGTTGAAGGTGATTCGTGCAATTCTCTTTTTAACTAAAGATCTTTGCTGCACCGAGTCAGCCCAAAAGGCTGGGTCAAATATGATTGCGCGTTTGCATTTTCTTCTTTGTGCCATGCGGCCCACAAGAAGCATCACAAGGTTCGATTTCGATCGATATATTATGATATATTGTCAAGAATGGACCAAATCCAAATGGACGTTAGATCATGCCAACGCAACAACTTGTCAAGTTGCTCTTATGGACCCTAAGCGCTTGGTTGTGCAGGGTTACTTTACAATAGAACAGAAAACTGCTATAATAGCTATAGCATGGAGTAATACTACACAAGCTTGAGTTGAAGATGCATGCTGTATGAACGGCTCGGAAGCTGCTTCACCCGATCGCCATAAGCCATATCTCCCAACCGCTGTTTGGCCTGGCCGGAAACACCCCACGGAGAAGCCGGTGGTTCCAGGAGAGCGAGGTGCCCGACGCCGTGAGGGCGCTCTTCCGTTCACAGGCGACCGGCGACGCGAGCGCGCTGCCGGACTTCAAAACGATGTCCACCACGGATCTCGAGGCGATCGGCAGTCGATCTGTGGGGAGTTCCGGAGGATTTGGAGAGGATTTGATGTGCAGCTGAAGAATCAGAGCACCCCGCACTGGACTCAAGGTCTGCAGTCTTAACTGAGGAAATATGAAGTTCTGCGTGACCCTGCTGATGGCAAGAGAGGCCCAAGTTTTCGTTGGCTCTCAAGAGCCCCAAGAAGGCTTTCCCAAATTGAAGTGGGTGTGGTTGCCAATTCAATAATACGTGCCAATCAAGTCCAGCGATCCTCCGATCGTGCCAGTGTGCTACGTCTAGATGGGCGGACGTGGCTGCACCCCTTGTTTCATGGTCTTGGAGGTTACTGACGGATAGTTGAGCGATTGCATGCGACCACTCTCTGCTCTTTTGGAACAGTCTTCCTGGAACCTCACCAAACACAAACATGCCACTCACTACCTCTCACCATGAGTCGAGTGCTTCAACCAAGGCACGCCTGGGCCGGATGATCTTACCGCTCAACCAAGAGCTTGGCAAGCCGGCCGAGGGCAGCAGCTATGTGGTGTCTTGGCGCTTCAGTTTTTTGTACAAGGTAGGTGATTCACCGGAAATGTAGGGCAGTGAGCACCTTGCAACCAAGGTGTCACCAGATAACTTTATCAAGATGGTCTGGATTGCACTGAGAGTCGAGGCTCGAGTGCCTGTGATCATCATGGGTGAGACGCATGGAAGCAGAATCGAGGAATCTTCAAATCATGGAGTGGTTTGTACCCTCAGCATCTCTATTCAGCGCTCCTTTTGAAGGGCGTTTGTGTTCCTTTTGAAGGGCATTTGAAGGGCATTCTGTCCGCGTCAGTCCCTCAAAGCGATCATTTGGGCGCCTGACTTACTAATGTGGTGAAGCACCAAGAACAACTGTTTGACCCCGTTTGACCCGGACCGGCGGACCGGCTAATAACTAACCATGCCTTCACATGCTTCAATGGGCCCGTATTCGCACCACCTGTGTTAGAGTCAACTCACGTATCAATGGCATATGTATGCTCTCTCTAAGGACTGGTTGTGGCAAAACCTCGTTGATCCGGCATTTGGCGAAGCTGCTCACGGTCAACTTCCTGTGCCTCAACGTCCATGCTGGCACTTCGGCCGAGGACATCATCCGCTTTGTGCAAAGCGCAGGCAGCAGCCAGGAGCGAACGCGCTTCTCTTCGTGTCTCAGAGTTTGAAGCGGGGAGAGTCAAGTGAAATGTTGAAGGATGCGCAAGGAGATGTCGGCCACCCGAGCAAAACCTGATCAATCTTCAACATGTGTCACAGTCTTTGCCACCCGGAGCGTGTTCTTCGCGTCCTTTTGGTTGGCGTTGTTTTCACATTTTGGAAGAAACCAATCAAAGGCAAGACATGCTGTGAACAGTGGACTCCAACTGGATGCTTTTGCCAGCTCTCCATGTCGTATGAACAGTGGCCTCGGAGGCGAAAACATCGCTCGCCCATCGTGCGCACAGAACGTCGCGGTGCGGTGAACCCGCACGAGTCACGCCGCAGAACATGTCTCGCCTTGGAAGCCTTCGCAGATTGCTCAAGTGTTTGAGGGGTACTGTAAGTTCTGCAGAAGCCATGAGTTTCCATGGTTTTTCATTGGGTTTCCCAATTTCTCAGCGTTTTCGCACTGCATTGAGTATTTGTCTTTCTTCTTCCATCATTGTCCATCCAAAAGCACCAAACCAACAGGTGCGGTGATGAACACTTGTTGTGGATGGCAATGGATGGCATACACATGACTCACATGACTCACATGACACCAGCAGTTGGATACTTTCCAGATGGCAAACAGGTTCCAGGGTGGTGCGAATGGGTGCGAAGTCGGATCTCTTGCATCAACGGCAACTCCGAAAGCATGCACAGTGAAGATGGATCAACCGAAACATCTGATACTGGTACATAGACTCCCAAATAGATAGAAAAGATGCACAGTAGATCCTCACTCAAAATGTATCGGACACCCCTGCCACTATCTATCTGGGGATCACTATACTATTATATATCTCAAGATTCCAAGAGAAGAGCATGGCAATGAAATTCTTCCGATCTTCCCCATACGTTCATGTCGTCTTTTTTGGGCGGCGTGGTCGCTTCACATCTTCACCTCTGCCTGTGTGGTCGCTTCACTCGCTGATCACAGGAGAGAGTGACCTGGGCCTTTCTGGACGAGGTGAATACCTGTGAGCACATGGGTCTGGTCACAGAGATCCTCGGTTCTAAAAAGACTCAGTTTCTGCAGCACCTCGGTTGAAAAGAAAGACACTCAACACCTTGTTTCTTGGGCAGGTGTTCTGATCCAGGTGCAACCAAGCATCCAGGTCTTTTCGATCGTTTTAGTTGACCCTTCAGGTCTTGAGAACACCAGCATCCAAAAGCTTCCATTGTGCGCCCAGATCAGCTTGGGACGCAGCAGGTTTACTTCGGCCACGCCATCCCCTCAATACTCTTGGCATCAATTCCATGAAATTCCGGGCCAATCAGCTTGAGCATTCCTTGCCAAGAGTTCGGGCTGGGTGGGCACGACGTCACTTTTGAAGAGCCAGGTCTTGGAATTTGGAATGTAGAATAGATTAGAATAATAGAAGACAACACTTCCGGAAAACGAACAACTAGACTCAGACCATCTCAGACCCAAAACCCGCCAGTTCCCTTTGGTTGTGTCCTTTTTGAGCCAGACCACACTCACACCACCACACCGAGCTTCTCGGTTCGGATCGGCCAAGTCAGGATTTTGTGCCATCATCGAGTGCTTGGAAAGCCATTACCTGAGAAGCTCGTGCTCCTCGCGGCATGTGCCTTTGCGAGGAAGTCAAGAATTGATGGACAAACTGAGTGCACTTGAGAAGGAGATCGAGGATCCCCCAAAACCACCAGCCTGTTGATCCAGGTTTGGTGCCATCTACTTCCCAATCTTTCCTGGAAGATGTCACCAGTCTTGTGGTCATAATGTTGAGCCCCAAACCAACCTGTGAATCCCCCCCTACTCACACGTTCTTTGGATCTCCTCGCTCCTGCGGCATAGGGGATCAACACATCTTTCACTCCCATATCCTGGAATCCTGGACTCGGAGGGCTGAGCACATCCGGTCTACACCACTTCATCCCTAGTGCTACACCACCTGTATGTAGCTTCGCAGCCTTACCAGGTTCTTACCACGAGCACGAAGGGAGGTTGATGTTCTCGCAGGGCCAGAAAGTTTGCTGTTGGAAGGTGCTTTCCAAGGCTGCCAACCAAATATTCAGCCAGAAAACTGGGTCTTGCTACTGGTACTCAAGACTGGTTGGAAGCTTGGAGCTTGAGGTTTGTGGGTTAAGTTAAGGTCACTAAGGCGACTGACTGATTTTACAAGTGCTGCACTGTGAATCATTGAGGGTTTGCTGGGAGGCTATAATCAAAGCTCTGGCTCTTTAGGTGTGTCCCTGGAAGCGCCGCCGCTCAGCTAGTGCTTTGCCTCCCAGGCAATCCCTATCGCAAGAAGGCGGTCCTGACCACAGAAGCCCGCCGGGCTCAAGCGCAGCTAGTGCTTGGAGACGCTGGGTCTGAGAGGCAGGGGACCGTGGAGTTGTGTTTTTCTTCTGCTCAGCTCAGCGATTTGGCAGTCTCGAACCCTGAAGACCCTGGTGGACGAGGGGTGTCAAGCTACTTGTATCTACTTGTAGCATGTACCACGGTCTTGGGATGCTTGGTGTTGATCTGCAGCCATTTGGTGGGTCAATGCGTTGCTTTTTGTTCTGAACAACAGCTTGAAGTTCATGCCGTCATGAAACATTTGTGAAACCCTGAAGCCTTTGCTGTCGGCCAACATGCCATTCAGTGAACATGTTTTGCTGAGCGGCAGGGATTGAAGAGGTCTGCCCAATCACTGATCATCCCGCACTTTGCCCCAATAGTATGTCAAGTTCATCTTGAAGTGACACGACCCTATTGTTGTGAAACGCTATGGTTCATATCACTGCATGACTCACAGAGATTTTAATTACCTGCCTGGATTCTTGCCACTAAGGACACCAGCCAGAGGCGGAAGATGTCCCGATTGGTTTATAGTGTTCAGGAGACCTGTCCTGGGCGGGTGCGCCATGACTCCACCAAGTCATGCCAGGCTGAAAAGGGCTGAATACCACCCATGAAGCCTGCAGGAAGATCGTTGTTGAAGTCTTTTTGCTCAAGATTTACTGCAGTAGATGTTCCTCACATTTCCTCACCATCACACAAATGTCCTAAATATTCCTAAACACCTTTATCTATTTACTGCTAATGGACACTGATCATTGCTCAATCATAGACTTCCCGGAAACTGCAGTGGCATCAAACTCCTCGACCATCCAAGGCATTGAACAGGTTGTGACTGCTTTGATCGACTTTCCAAGCCACGATCCTGGACGACAAACGGCTGAGACGTATACACGTTTCTGCGCATTGTTCCAACACCGAAACACATGCGCTGCCCCGAAAGGATCACCCAAACGTTGTGGCTACCCGAGCTCCTACCCGAAGCGCCAGGAGCTACCCGAAGCGCTTTATGACTTCTTGTATGACTTTGGCTTCCTCGGCCTCTTGGTTGTACCAGGCCTTTTTCTCAAAGCATCTCACTTGAAAGGCTCTCATATAGTATAAACTTGCTCTGGGATCAACAAGCAGACGTACGCATGCGGATGTCTCCATGATTCTTCATGTATGTCATTTTATTATATACCAAGTTGATATCATATGATTATATCATATTATATTACATTAATTCTTGCTTTCAGACATCTCTCAGTGACAGCGAAGGTTTTGAACCGAGTTTTCCGTTGATATTTGACTCTGATACTGACCTGTAAGCAGGGTCCCCGATGCGAAGCAGTTTCACAACACGGGTTTCAAGCCCTGTTCATTTGCTACGCTTGCACGCCCACTTTGGACTGAGGCACGGAAGAAGAGGAGAGTTACGTAGAAGCGATGGTCGAGCCGCTCTTCCCGTCCCGCCAACCTGTTCAGCAGCCGTACGGCTTGTTTGGGTACCGCCCTGAAAGGCGTCCCGGCGTCGTTGGGTTCGTGGGTATGGCTGTTTGACCGGCACTGACCTGCACATTCACAGGTGTGTTTTGAAGGTTTCACATGTGGAACAGATTTGTTTGGCGGCCGAGCAGGCTGGTCACCTCGTTTGCCACCAATGTTTGATGTCTGGAACCAAGTGTGTTGAGTGAAGACGATTAAATCATATTAATTACAGTAAATCATTGTTCATGGAATGCCGAATGCCTGTTTGAGGGATCTAGAAAGAACGTAGTTACACGTGGACAGTTACTCTCTTTTACAGACAAGGTAGTATACAGTCAGTATACAGTATATAAGGTACTTGATAAGCAACATCCCTCTAGCAATTGCTCAAGATCTTGCAGTCCCAAGATAATCCCCAGGGTCACGAGGTGTTTCACTTGAAATATTGCAATTTTGTCAGCTGTTACGGAACAAGAATTGTTGATTCCGATTCTTCGGCTGCGTGGAATTTGTTCGGGCCAATCAATCAGCTGGCAGCTCCTGAGGGAGTAGCACGCGACGAGCCTCCTGGTCTCCATCTTTCCCACAAAAAAAGGGCACTCGCCAATCAGATCGAGGACTCCCAGAATAGACACGGAACTGGCTCGAGTTTCTTGAGCATTTCCCAAGACCATAGGGTTGACCAGGTCATCATCCATCACCAGGTCAGTTAGTCGATCTGTGAAACTTCCGAGTTAACCCATCCCATCCGCGCTGTCTGAGGCCCTGGGCTCCTTGTGTGAAGGATTTGATTATCTTCTCCCAAGAGTTCACGGCAGAGAATCAGCCGGATTGCCTGCTGAGCTTGCGGGATGTGAAGCGATGCGTGGAGCTCATCAAATGGTTCCAGGCGATGGTCGAAGAGCGGAATTGGTCTCTAAGCCAGAGAGATGGACATGTGTGGGACCTGATAGAAGTCGGACTGGATTTAGGGCCCCAACACTAATGAACCATGCATATATTAGAGTACAGTATATTAGAGTCATGTGATTGCCATGTGGATGTGCAGTACTGGGGTCGATGAGATCCGAATCATGGAAACTTGAACGGATGTCGTTCAGTCTATTTTTCTGTACAAGGCAACGACCGTTTCTCGATGCATGCTGTGTAGAGTCGGGGTTGGATGCCTATGATTGCTGGGAACTCAGATCCGCAACACATAAGAGGAAGGAAATGGACTCAAGGATTCTGATGAGCGGCATGCAGAGGTGAGTCACTGACTCGAAAGGCCTGAAAAGAGTGGTGTCGCACTTCTTTGAAACTTTGGGTGTGCACTCAAAGGATCTCAACGGTAGTTGGGTGTTGGGTGTTCGCACCTTGTCACCCAAAGGCTCGCTGACGCCATCGGCTCGCTGGATCAAACGGGTTGCCGAAAAAAGAACAGCTGGAGTATACCTCAATGCTTTGCCCTTACCACCCATATCCACCCATCAACCGTGTCCTTGGACTAGAGCTTTGTGGATTCGAAAGTACTGCTTTGAATCTATGATTTTTTACTGCTTTGAATGCTTGGGACGGTCATCATCACTTAGCTGCTATTGAAATTGCCTTTAAGCAGCATCATTTTAGAAACTTCTGAAACCTGAACAAACTTTGCGGGGCTGTGTATATCATGCGGATACTTCAACATTTTTCAACCGCCTCCGACAACACGTGGTTTGAGGATGTTTGAGGTCACTTCACTCTCGAATGCTTAACATGAGTTGACCAATCATAAAACATGAACCATCATGGCATTGGTCAGTGAACCCCCAGAGGCCCTCAGCTTCGACAAATGCCTCCAGTAGCTTCCACGGATTATCCGGAGTGGAAGGTCAGGCCCCGTCCCGCCGGGTCCGGCTGTGCAGGAAAGTTTGCGCCAGCGGCAGGAGTCCTGTCACAGATGGGAAGAAGACCTATCACCGGCAGCCTGGTCCGAAGGATGGAAGGAGGGTGCTGATGCGCTGGAGGCTCTGATTCTGACCACACGAATGATTTGTTGGATAGGAGGGGTTCACTGGTAATGAAGATGCTCTTAGTCAGGAAAGGTTCAAGAGGTATGGTTTATCCGCTAGACGATCTTTGGTTCTTGGACATAATAGGTCGGCCCGGACATTTTTGCAGCGTTGCAAGAGCAGTTTCGCCATACACAGACAGATACATCAGTGTTCATTTCTGCAGGCATTTTGTGAATTGAAGATATTGAAGGCACTACAAGAGTTGAAGCATAGCAAGCCAGACATCCAGCATTGATGGTATGCTGAGGGATTCAGCTGCTTATCCCCTTGTCAGCAGTATCATGGGAGATCAGGGCAACAGTTGCGTTCTGTTGTTTCCATGCTTGCCTCAGAGTCAGTGTGCACCTTGAATTTTACACTAGATTTGGTATTGGTGCACCCAGTTTTGAAATGCATTTGATAGAACCACACAGGTTCGATAACCTTTCATGGATTCTTTTTGCATTTGCAGTGTATGTGTTTGCAAGCAGAGATTTGAATTTCGGCCCAGGAGGAGATCACCTTCAGATCGGTGCTCAATGCCTTGGTGGTCTCTTACCACTGCCGGCTCCCGACACATAAACTCCGCGAAGTCTACCGCCAGCAAGTGGCGCAAATCTTCGAGAACCATGGCAAATATTTGCCAAGGCAAAACAGGCAGCAAACCTGGGAAGGCTCGACCAGGGCAAATCTGCTTCAGACTCTCCAACCATCCAAGACTAAATACATTTGGATGCCGAACTCAAGTCCTCATCCAAAATAGTAACCTGCACTCTGGGGACTTGGTATGACTTGGTTATGGAGACCTGACTTCATTTTTGCACGACTTTGGAGGTGGGAACATCCTCAATTGGCTCAAGAACAACGAGATGACTCGATACATTGAGCTGATGAAGCTGCCAGAGATGACTGCCACAAACGAAGCACTCCTAGAAAACGTCTTCGTCCGCTCCTCAGACGTCCGTGGGAACACGTGGGTGCTGAGGGCAAAACATGTTGCTAGCGAACCCTTTGAACGGGAATTGTTCCTGTCCGAATGTTATTCCAAACACAAGTCACAAATTTTCCGAGCATGCAGCATATGTTTGTTGGAGGTGATGATGAATGGAATGGATGTCAGTGGTCATGGTTTTTTGTTCACCCAAACCGGTGGAATTAATGATAGCTATAGATCTGTTTTGTCAACAAATACAACACTCAGTCAGCCTGCTAGTCAGGGCTTCTGAAAACGCTCACTGCCCCTATCACCTGCTGACGTGCGGCTCCAAACGAAACACCACCAAAAGCATGGTAGAGGTTCATCTGATTCATCTTCCCAAGCAGTCGACAATGTTCCTTTACTTGGATAATTTACCAAGCATTCCCAGAAGCTGTTTGCTGCAGGTAATGATGGTTTGTATCTTGAACCAGATTCCCATCTTCGCAGTTGGAAAGCCGGGCAACTCCAAGAGCTTAGCCCTGCGGATCTTGCACGCCAGCTTGAGGGGCCCAGACTCCGAGGTGACCCGCCCCGCTTGATTCTTGATATCAATGTTCTGGATTTTTGGGTGCAATAGAAGGACTACAGATTGTCAGTGAGAGTGATTGTGATTGCTCTTGCTTGGGTGTAGAGAGTGAGTTTATCGTTATTGATGTGAGTGTGTTGGACTTTTGCTCAGATATTGAATCCATAGAGGTCAGGGATTGCTCATGTTTGTTCTTCGAGAACGCCTCTGGTATTTGCTACGAGTGTTTTTTTGATTTTTTTTGAGCAATACCACTTTACAACATTGTCCAACATGCTGTCCACTCAAGGGACCTACTGTGACGAGCCACGGTTCATCTCTTTTTCCTGCTTTTGCAAAGTTGGGCTCCCTTGATCCAGCTCGTGTGGTTCTGCGCGTGAAGGCAAACATCTCGGGGGTCGTCCGACAGTCGTCGGAGGGCATCGGTTTGGGCAGCAAGCGGATCAAAGCAACAAGTAAATACAATTAGAAGCCTACTTGCTGTTCCAACAGCCAAAAACTACAGAACATCTCGAGGTGGACAACTCTGAGGCTTGATAAAAAAAACTAGACGACGGGTGGCCCGAGAGCGAGACATGTGATTGTCCAGCACTGTGGAAAAGATATATATATATATAGAAAGAGAGAAAGAAAGGATGGACGTGAAGGAGTGACAGTGTGGATGTGCAGGTGCAATACAGATGTGTAGATGTATGGAGGTGGAGAGGTAGATCTGTGGATGTGAGCGTGCGAAGATGTAAATGCACAGAGACGAGAGAAATGATATGTAGAAAGAAAGAAAGAAAGACAGGACAGATGTGAAGGAGCGACAGTGTGGATGTACAGATGTGATATAGATGTGCAGATGTGTGGGTGTGGTGAGGTGGAGAGGTAGATCTGCGGATGTGAGCGTGTGAAGATGTAAATGTAGAGAGGTGAGGGGGTGTAGTTAGACGTAGATGCGTCGATGCAACGGCAGCGCAACGTCAACCTTAGTTGTGCAAGTACAACGCTGAAGAGGTTCAAATAGAACTGAAGAACGTACATTTCACACTGAAGTTTCCACGAACAGGGCGACCTGAGAGTAAACGACGTCACTATCATGACAAGCGACTCGTGTATTCCAAGCGAACATCGTTTGTCATGAAGGTGAAGTACACACATACTAACGTCACGATGACTCTTTTGTAGCAGCTACTTATGAGTAAGGAAAGTAGCTAAAATTTCTCAACCTCTCAAGAGAGCCGGGTGGTCGGGAGACATGACTCAGCTGCAGGGGCGCCAGACCAGCCGCGAGAGATGACTCAGCCGCGAGAGATGACTCATCCGCGTCCTAAAGTTGTACTACAAAGTCGCCAGTTCTCAGCTTCCAGCTCCACAGCTTGCTCCGCGTACTAAAGTTGTACTACAAAGTCGCCAGTTCTCAGCTTCCAGCTCCCCAGATACTCCGCGTACTAAAGTTGTAGTACAACTTCGCCGGTTCTCATCTTCCAGCTCCCCAGATACTCCGTGTACTAAAGTTGTACTACAAAGTCGCCAGTTCTCAGCTTCCACAGATTGCTCCGCGTACTAAAGTTGTACTACAAAGTCGCCAGTTCTCATCTTCCAGCTCCCCAGATACTCCGCGCACTCAAGTTGCACTACAAAGTCGCCAGTTCTCAGCTTCCAGCTCCACAGATTGCTCCGCATACTAAAGTTGTACTACAAAGTCGCCAGTTCTCATCTTCCTGTACCAAAACGCACTCTCGCCTGCATTTCGCGCACTCGACACGCACGATCTCCGCAGAGGGCTGCGCCGGACAAATCCAAAGCGCAGTCTCGCCTGCATGCAGAGGGCTGCGCCGGACCGGGACAAATCGCACTCTCGCCTGCACTTCGTGCGCTCGACACGCACGATCTCCGCAGAGGGTTGCGTTTCGATGCGTTTCGTGGCAGTCCGGCGGCACTGCCGCCGGCCTTAAGAGAGAAAGTAAAGAAGAGCGAGAGGTGCAGATGTGAGGTGTAGATGTGTAGCGATGTGAGGATGTGAAGATGAGCAGAGATGTAGATGTGCAGATGTGAACATGAGCAGAGATGTAGATGTGTGAAGATGAAGATGAGCTGAGATGTAGATGCGAGGATGTGAAGATGAGCAGAGATGTAGATGTGCAGATGTGAAGATGAGCTGAGATATAGGTGAGAATGTGGATGTGCAGAGGTGAAGATGTGCAGATGTAGATGAGACGTAATTCTGCAGATGTTTTTTACGAAGAACCCTTCGCAGACACTCTCGGGAAAAATGGACAACTCTGAGGCTTGGTAAAAAATTAGAACAGAATAGGGTTTTTAAGCAGCATAACATGCTCGGAAAGTGTCTGTGTGGGTCCTTGCGTCAACAGGACGCACACTTCCCTCCCTTGAACGTTGCCAGGATCCCTACTTACGGAACTTCCCTCGGCTCTATGTGATCTCATATCAGGGATCCGAAGTTTCGACGAGCGAGGGCATCACCAAGGCAGGAGGGAGACACAGCATTGTTTTGGCACACTAGATAAACTGGGAATCGGGAATTTGTTTCGTGTCTCTTGTTTGCAAAAAGAAGGCGTGACTCGACTGCACGGGGCGTAGGCATATCTAGGCATGTGTCCCGGTGAACCCTAGCTGAAACCCTTGTTCGCGCCCTTCTTCCCGGATTCCGGACGCAGAATTAGTTGGCACAGCACTCGTGAGTTTCCCACAGGAGCTAAACTAGTTACATCATTCGACCAGTTTCATGAACTTCATATCCAGAACGCTTCAACTCGATACATCTCGATACCCGCAACCAAGAAGCTGAAGGAAACCCTATCAACTGGTGTTCCCCAGTGGCATTGAAGAGGAGAACACCAGTTTCCGCGCATGTTCGGGTGCAGTTCCGAGGATTTGAGAGATTGCCATGAGTTCTGTGCGCGAAAACACCCTTCAGGTCTTCGAGAAGGCCAAGACCTACAAAGAGAGCATCGCAAAGGACGCCTTGGTTTTGGTGCACTTTGATGAAATCGGCCTGGCAGAAGCCAGTCCCAACAATCCCTTGAAGGTGCGAGTCATTGTGAACGGGGAATTTTCCCGCACGCGTGCCTGCGAAAAAGCGCGTGTCTTAGACACTGAGCTGTCCTGAAACGGTTTCCTTGTCAGGGTAGAAATCCGATGTCGATGTGCTGCTTTGTTTTCAGACACCATCAACTATTGCCCTGAAACCCAGCAGACATCTGTCCGCAAGCGTTTGGTGCAGGTCTCTCAATTTCTCACACCGGAAAATGGTGCCACATGTGACGCCAAAAATGATTTTGATTTGACCATGTGATACTATTTGTTACAGTTGATCTAGGAATAAACCACCCCTAAATAAAGCTAAACGGGAGGTGGGGGGTTCTAGGTAATCAGCGGTCGACATTACTATATACTGTTGAGATTTGTTGAGTGAGTCATTGAGTAGCCTGAAAGAACATGAGGATGTGGAGCAATGGCTGCTTTTTAAATTTGTTCGCGTAAATCCACTACGTATGCCTATGCTATAGACCCCCTCGGCACTGGACAGGAACGGGAATCACCACAACCGTGCCTGCCCAAAAGGATGTGAAAAGCCTTCTCTGGCTAGTCTTGAGTTGTTGGTTCTTCTTTTCCGGTCCTGTCTCAGCCATGTGGTTTGGAGGTGCTTCACGCGCATCTGGAACCTGGTTACCCAAAAGACCGACCTGACTATGCTGTGGTGGGGCTCTCGAATTTCCCCTTAGACGCAGCGAAGATGAACCGGGGCATCGCATTGGTCCGGCCTCCCTTGCGGCACACCGAGGCTTGGTTTAGACTTCAGGGTGACTGCATATTGTTGAAATTCCTGGGGCATGTATAGATGCTGTAGCAACGACCCGCTTAAGCCAGTAGAGTACTCAGTAGAGCGAAAAGGTCCAGCTTAACGGTGCACAGGGTTGGGCCTAGGATTGGTGCTGATCCTTGAAACTACAGGTTATCAGCCGTAGGCTGAGAGCTATGGATGGAAGTTGGGACGATGAAATGCCAAACAGTTCTGGCAATGGGTTTGACACAGTGCGCAGTGCCCGGTAACAGTGAAGCGTTGGTAAGGCACCAAGAGGCTATGTCAGAGGTACAACTAACATTTTCTGGTGTACCACCTCATATCGCTTTGCATATAAGAGGCTGCACCAGCTACCGTAGCTGGTATGCCAGCTGCTGGCGTAACTGGTACGCCGTCAAAACAAACGGATTAGCAATGGCAAGGTGCAATGTTGCCAATCAAGTCAACATTATAACATTGCCCCAGGAACCAACAAAGCGCTTTTACGACAAGAGCTTCAGCAACAGAGAAGTGTACTTAGATTAAGCTAGGGTTTAGAACGGTTAGCTACACCTTGAACATGTCAACCGTTTAGCTAATTAGTTAGGTTGAAAGATTATATTTTTTATGTTTATTTTTGTGTGTGTGTCAATGTTCAAACATAGTGGAGGTAGGGCAGAACACTCATACTTTGACACATGGTCTTGTGCTTGGGCAAATTTCAAGTTTAAAAGCAAAAATGAAGGCACATGTAGATCATATGAATGTTGCTATTCCGGTTGCCATTTGAAACGATATGTTGAACAACATTTGTTGAAAGTGGTTTTTCTCAGCCGCACACCTGCAAGCGCAACCATTATGTTTTGATGTTTTGTATGTTTTTTGAAGAACCCTGTGGAAAAGAAGCATAGCAAGAGCTACAACCTAGACATTTCAGAAAAGGCTAACGTGTGAAAGCCCACCTCAAACCAAAGGTCAACTTGCAAGGCTGTAACACATAGCCCTATTGGTTCCAAGGCATGCAGCCCTCAAGCTCCAACACATGTAGCTCTAAGGCTTTAAGACATGCAGCCTCAAGCTCCAAGCCAAATACACCAAACCACTAATGATGACATTTCCAGCCGTTCTTGCTACATGACTAAACCTTGCAACTTGCTTTCAGAAACCAAAGATGGAACGCAACCCCCTGAATTCACAACTTTTGTTGACATTGGTGATCACACCACACCCCAGACCAATGCATACGGTGTTTGTCACTTTGCTCTGGCTCTGACTATTCTCTCAAAGAAAAAGCTTGCACAACTGCACACTTCAAGTCATCACCATGCAATAAACATGTCAGATGCCCTGCTCCAAAAGCAACAGGTTGGTGACTGGGCTGGGGCAAGCTGTAAAGGACACAACCACCAATTTTGCAAACGTGTCCACAGCCCAGCCTGCTGGTTTGACACTGTCGATGGGCTTTGATGATCCCAGTAAGCTTGCAATTGCAGTTCCCTTGGAATTGGAGCAACAAAATAGGCACCAAGCTTGTATACAGACTCGTGCTTCAAGCCTGACATGGTCACAGGTAAGCAGGTAAGCTCCTTCAAAAATGTATTTTCAGAACAAGTGGTGTTGCAAAGGCCTAAGCCATACCTCTTGGCCACTTTGCTTTCTCTCCAATGACCAGCAACTTGGTCAGCCAGAATGCCTCTGCAGGCTCTGTTCGAAATGTAAACACCTGTGAAATTTGGGCCTCAAGCTTCCGCCATAGCCAGCACTCACTGCCAACGGCGCTTTTTCCACAGCTTGCAGTAAGATCAATGGAGGCTACCAGAATATCCATCACACTGCGCCAAGCCAGGTAAACATCCTTTTGGCTCTGGCATTCCGGCAACGCGCAGCAAGTTTGCAAGAAGCACGCCGCAACAGGGTGGATGGAAAGCATTTCTGGCGCCGAGGCCACCGTCTTCTCTGCCGTTCTGTGTGCTTCCACCTTCTTGCTGGTGAAGAGCTTGCGCAAGGCACCAGTGCCAGGTAAAGTGCCAGGTAAGTCAAGTCCAAAGTTGCAAACATTGGGCACGCCTGAAGTTGCTACTGCTAATGCTTCATGCTTCTAACGCTCCTAACGCGCCATGATGAAGCAAAGAACACCTGTGTCATTGAGTTGTGCAACTTCCACTATTTCCATTCCCTGTAGCATGAAAAGCTGGCACGGACCTAAAGCTGGTCGCCAGGAGGGAGGTATAGGGAGCATCCCCACAAAAATTATAGGACCGGATAACCCCACATGGGAACAACTTCGAAAGATTGAAGCTGCAGACATAAGGTGCTGAAGAGTGAGCATGGGGAAGAGACAGGCGAGACAAATAGAATGCGTAAGGGTCGGTGTGTGTAGGTGAGGTGTGTGTTTGATTGTATGTGCTTGTCCGTGAGTGTGTATGAGTGTGTGGGTGGATGTATGCTGTATGACGCTTGTGTGCATGTAGGTGTTTGTAAGGTGTGTGTTTGTGTGTATGTGTTTGTTCAGCAGTGTGTATCTGTGTGTATCCGTTTGTGTGTATCTCGTCAGAGAGTCGGTCGTCGGAGACGAACTGGTCCAAGTGTCCTGAGCAGGAAGATGCATACGGGTCATACCGATTCATATGGTTGACTCATACGGTTGACTCTACGTAGCTTTGAGCTCCCGTGAACGAGCGCAGGCAACGACCTCGGAGGCCATCTCACGCTTTTGCAAAAACCGTGTCTGAAATCGGCAAGTCGCATCAGATAGAAGCAAAATTATACACAGATTCCAAAGTTTCCAAAGGAGCCACCTGGTTTCCAAAGTGCTGCGCCTGCCACGAAATCTGCGCCGGTGCCCACCCGACGCCAGACGACGCCAGACGACGCCAGGGCGTACGTCCGACCCCTTGGCAAGCAGTAAAGTGCTGCGCCTGCCACGAAATCTGCGCCGGTGCCCAGCCGACGCCAGACGACGCCATGGCGCACATCCGACCCCTTGGCAAGCAGAAAAGTGCTGCGCCTGCCACGAAATCTGCGCCGGTGCCCAGCCGACGCCAGACGACGCCAGGGCGTACATCCGACCCCTTGGCAAGCAGCAACATGCTGCCAGGAACCGTACATCCGACGTACATCCGACCCCTTGGCAAGCAGCAAAGTGCTGCGCCTGCCACGAACTTGGATGTGCGGTTGGGGTTGTAAGTAGTTAGCCTCGTTGTCCAGCTTACTAACCGAATATAAGTAGACTATAACTTAGGTATAAGCTGGTTGCAAATGTGGTAACTAACTTGCAACCGTGTTAAGTTCGCCTCTATGCTGCCTATGTGCACTTGTGTTCCTGTCTGTACTTACTAAGATGATATAACCACTTAGTAAGTCCAACGCGAAGATAGCGAACATATGATCTACTTAATGTGAACTTACTATCTTAAGATATGTAAGTTCGATATATGTTTTAGTTGAGGTTATCCAACTTAGTATCTATGTTTATAAGTTCGACCGGTCGAACTTAGTCGAACTTACTAAGTTCGACCGGTCGAACTTAGTAAGTGGAATATATAAGGTATATCAAGATATATTTTTGTATATCGTTATCAAAATTTGTTTTTTTGATGTTAAATTCAATGATCAAGGTGGTGTCGGGCCACACGTGCTCGCATCCTCATGTGTAAGCACAGTACTTTATACATACGTTTCAAACACGTACTATATTTGTTTTGGTTTTGTTTCGGTGTTCCGAACATATGTGTTCCAAACATTTTGTTTCGATGCTCCACGTATACATATATTGATTGGATTCAGATTGGTGGGCGTGTATTCAGCGCATTAAACACATGGGATATTCACAATGAACCACCGTAGATGCCAGAACGACGCTCAAGCACGCAGGCATGTAAACAGGGAACCACCAAAGGTCACCAAACTATATACAATAACACATGTTTTTGTGGTTTCGAAGCCTTCAAAAGAATGATTAATTGAATCGGGTTTTTGGTCTTCACAAAGGTTGACTTCTTTGTTTGATCAGGTCTTGAGTACATTGACCATCATTTGTTTTATATTGTCCCATTGCACCGGCCAAAAGATGTGATCCAATGCCGCGGCAGCTGCCTGAATTTGGCACGCAGGCTCGCTTCGGGTCATTCGAGACAGTGGGTGGGTTCGGCATCATGTTCAAAGAGTTGTTTTGAATTGAATTTTAGGAGTCCTGGTTTTTGTTTGTATTATTTTTCAGGCCGTTTGACGTGAGCGCATGAACTCAATCTGTGTTGTGGTTTTTGATAGACCAGTATCGACTGTTCAATGCTTTTGGGGTGCATTGTGTACAAGTTGTTGACTTGTTTTTTCAGGTTTTGCTTATAGATTGACCATCTGTTGGTCTATATATGGTCTCATTGCACCGGCCAAGGATGTGATCCAATGCAGCGGCAGCTGCCTTTGGCATGCAGGCTCGTTTCGGTCTATCCGGGGCAGCGTGTGGATTTTGCGCATAGCAATTTGACATTGATCGGTGTGTTGCATCGTCTCGTTATATTAACCTAGAGGTTGGCATTTCAGTGATTGAACCTCAATACGATTTTTTTTATAAGGTTTGATTCGATTTGAGTGTCTAACAATTTGAAGTGGTGTTCAATCATGAATGCGCAGTTGCAAGTGAATTATTTGGCTCAACAACGAGTGGTTTCGAATCGATATTCAATCCTCGACCTGTTTGCTGAAAGGAGTTGCCCCTGGTAACATCAGAGGATTGAACCATCAGAGGATTGGAACTTTTTGGTCAGAGGAATGACAGTTCAACCCATATATGTGCCATATGGTATTTCTTCTTTCTGTTTCAAACCTCGACCTATCTGCCCGACGGAGTTGCTCCTGGCAGCGTCAGAGGATTGAAACTTCTGGCAAGAGATGCAGCTTGATGTAACTATCATCAGAAGACTAAACATCAGAGGATGGAGCCAATAGTCATGACGCCCGCAGTGGTCATGGAATACGCCTTCATCCCAGAGAGTGGC